TTCTTTCTCTTTCTTTCTCTTTCTTTCTTTCTCTTTCTTTCTTTCTTTCTCTTTCTTTCTTTCTTTCTCTTTCTTTCTTTCTTTCTTTCTTTCTTTCTTTCTTTCTGTCGCTCGCCACTCACCCAAAGGGTCTCATGGCAACTTACAACATTAAAGCCAATAAGGTAAAAACAACATGAAAACAAATATGAAATATTAACATTATAAAACATTAAACTACATGGCTAGCACCACACCACTATCAGCGCAGCCCAGACGCAGTGGCTCTGCAGTCATCCACGGCATGCACTCTCTCTTGCCCGCTGCCTCCGTACCATTTTCAGGTTGCAGCATCCCATCAACGTGAAGATCTGGGCCAGGACTCTCTTGGAACACAGCCCCGTGGCAGCTGCCTGGAGGAAGGCGAGAGCTGCGGCATGATGGCCAGCACCCAGCTCCTGAAAGCCTGGAGGAAAGAGAAGAGCCTGAAGCAGGAGCCCCACCCAGCCTTGCCAAGTTGGGTCAGCGGCCTTCCAAGAGCCCAGTGCTAGGAACACCAAGGACAATCCGAGAGCTGACTTGGGCTTGGGTCCTGCATGCCAGAGAAGGAAGTGGCCGAATGGCATCCCTTCAGCGTGCAGGTGGTGGATCCCTGCTTGGAACGGCCCTTTGCATGGAAAAGCCCACTGTTGTCAGCTATGCTGCCGTTGTATGGGGGGGAGGGCCTCCCGCTGGGCAAGTGTCTTAATGTCCTGGAATGTGAGATTTCACTTCTTCTGCTGAGCCTTATCTAGTACCCTGACCTTGATGCTTTGCACTCTCTGCTCTGCCTGGGAACCTGCTCCCGTTAGTTTAGGCAGGCATCAGGGGGCCCCTCTTTGAACACAGTATATCTTCCTCTCTCCCACCAGTTGGGTTAACTCTAACACAGGACGTATGCACAGATGACCTGCCTTTACTGTCTTCAATAAACTTGATCCTTTACTGTCTTCAATAAACTTGATCCTTCAATAAACTACAGGAAAAAGTAAAGATAAACCACTAAAAACCCAAGAGGTGGTGGACATATGATTACAATAAAATAGCTTTAAGTAGGGGGGGGGAGTAATTTGTTACATTGAAGGTGATTGTTAAAGTCGCTTAAATAATTCAAGTCCAGGTATTCTGACTTAGTAAAGAGCAAAACAAAAGAATGATTAAACATTAAGAAGCAAAACCACACTTCAGATAAAACTGGCATCTCATTGGCCTCTTCTTCCCCTCAACTGATATCCTTGCTTGGGGGCAGCCGCCCAATAAACTTGATCCTTCTGAAGGAATGTTGTTGAGACTGATTGAAGAAGAAGAAGAGATTGGATCTATACCCCGCCCTTCCCTTGGAGTCTCAGAGCAGCTGACAAACTCCTTTCCCTTCCTCTCCCCACAACAGACACCTTGTGAGGTGGGTGGGGCTGAGAGAGCTCTGACAGAAACTGCCCTTTTTCAAGGACAGCTGTGACAGAGCTTGTGACTGACCCAAGGTCACATCAGCAGGTGCAAGTGGAGGAGTGGGGAATCAAACCCGGTTCTCCCATATTAGAGTCCGCACACTTAACCACTACACCAAACTGGCTCTCACCAAACTGCTGTGGGACTCTGACAACTGTGCAAACACAAAACTAGCTCAGCGGGGGGAAGGCTTCCATCCCTTCTCAACATTTTCTGCCTGTGCTGCACAATGTGGTCCTCCCCTAGCAGTCGGATGCAGTCCCTCCCACCGCCTCCTTCCCACCCACCCACCTGTGGACCAGGCCTCGGTTTCGCCGACCAGTCATCAGAAATTACTAAATGGGGCTTGCCGGATCCTACCCGGGGAAGAAATCACTTCCTTGCCCACGTCCCACTGTCCTACCCAAGAGCCCACTTCTGACCACGGCAGCAGGCACGTGGGAAGTGGCACTCTGGGCCATTCTTTCCTTGCCCCGCTAGCCTTCTTTTGGAGGCCCCATAGAGCCCCAGGGTCTTCCAGAATAACAAGGGCCTTCTGCCTGGATCAGCACCTGGGCTCTTCCAGACTATTTTTTATTTTTTTTATTTACTTTCGATTTATATACCGCTCTTGACCCCGAAGGGTCTCTGAGCGGTTTACATATACTTTTTAATTCCTACCTAGGGCCACAATTTGTATGGGGGGAGGGACCACCTACCAGCACCCAGGCGGCGCGTTCTGTTTGTTGATGTATTCGGGCGGGCTTCAGATGTTACTCCCTGGCACCCTAGGATGGGTCGACGGCTTCTTCTGGTGGGCTTCTGGTGGATTCCTCCGGCGTGCGGCCGCGCACCACCGCAGCTCTGGTGGTAACTTTTTCCCCATCATAGAGAACCATGGAGGGGATCCCTGCCACCTAGGGGCAGGTACCCATTTATCTACTTGCGATTACGCTTTTGAACCGCTGGGTGGGCGGGAGACTAGCTGCCCCCCTTCCTCGCAAGCAAAGTATCCCCACATATACACCTCTTTCATGAGGGGGGGAGCTGAGCACACTCCCTTGGGTCATTTATGGCAGGGGGAGGGAGCTTAAGGGGGAAAGGTTTGTAGACGCAGCAGGAGGACGACGAGGGCAGGGAGAGAAAAGGACCTGAACCCCCCATCGCCTCCTCCTCCCAGTACTGTCCACTTTGCCAGTTAAGATCTGCCTCTCAAGCCCTGCTCCCCACGCCCCTGCCAGTTTGGTGTCGTGGTGAAGCGCATGGACTCTAATCTGGGAGGACCGGGTTTGATTCCCCACTCCTCCTCCACTTGCACCTGGCTGGATGAACTTGGGCAAGAAGCCATGGTTCTGACAAGAGCTGTTCTTGAAAAAGAGCAGCTTCTGTCAAGAGCTCTCTCAGCCCCACCGACCTCACAGGGTGTCTGTTGTGGGGAGGGGAAGGGTGGGGTATAAATCCAATCTCTTCTTCTTCTACTACTTCTTCTAATTCTTCTTCTTCTTCTTGAGAGCCAGTTTGGTGTAGTGGTTAAATGCGCAGACTCTAATCTGGGAGAACCGGGTTTGATTCCCCCACTCCTCCTCCACTTACACCTGGCTGGATGACCATGGGCAAGCCGTAGTTCTGACAAGAGCTGTCCTTGAAAAAAGAGCAGTTTCTGTCCAGAGCTCTCTCAGCCCCACCGACCTCACAGGGGGTGTCTGTTGTGGGGAGGGGAAGGGAAAGGAGTTTGTAAGCCACTCTGAGACTCCTTCAGGTAGTGAAGAGCAGGGTATAAATCCAATCTCTTCTTCTTCTCTTCTAAGTGTGCGGACTCTTAATCTGGGAGAACCGGGTTTGATTCCCCACTCCTCCACTTGCACCTGGCTGGATGGCCTTGGGCAAGCCATAGTTCTGACAAGAACTGTTCTTGAAAAAGAGCAGTTTCTGTCAGAGCTCTCTCAGCCCCTACCTGCCTCACAGGGTGTCTGTTGTGGGGAGGGGGAGGGAAAAGGAGTTTGTAAACCGCTCTGAGACTCCCTTGGGTAGTGAAGGGCCATGGGGTATAAATCCAATCTCTTCTTCTTCTTCTTCTTCTTCTTCTTCTTCTTCTTCTTCTTCTTCTTCTTCTTCTTCTTCTTCTTCTGGGGTGGCACCTCACCTTTGGAACATTCCCCACCACCACCACCGAGGCTTGCCTGGCACCTACTTTACTTCCTTTTAGGCACAAGACTTTTAATTAGGGGCTTTATCTTACCAGTTTCTATGGTTTGCTTCTCTTACAAAGTTTTTATGCTGCTTATGTCCAATATCTTGTATTTCAGTGCTGTGGGTTTTGATTGTAAGCTGCCTTCGGCCAGACTTTGAAGAGGTAGCACAGACACGTTCCCGATACATAAAACACACCGACAGAAAAGCGGTTCCAGCCACACCTTGCAGGAAAGCGGCTGAAGTCCACAGAACGTCTCTCAGGTCCCTGGCACTCTGCACCACGAGGGGGTCAGATTCTCCCGCATCGGCTGGACGCCATCCTTGCAGCAGGGAAAGGAGCTCATTCTCACAGCTACTGCGCAAAGGCTGCCCTGGGTCCTGAGGAAGGAACCACCTTAGTACTGTGGTGCCCTGAAGACCACCCCAACTCTTCCGCCACTCCAGCCCCCCCTCCCCCTTTAAGGTCGGTGGCACGGCAGGCAAGAGACAGGACACCTGGAAGGACACAGCAACGGTGGCACTCAACTCACACACTCTGCTAGCGACCCAGCTCAACGCACCCAACTGCCTAAACCCTGGGCTTCTTCACACGCCCCTGCCCTGTAAAGACGAACCTTCTGTGTCGTCCTCGCTTATAGGGGATATGGGTTTTCCTTTAAACCACCCTCTGCGTATTTAAACATGGTAGTTTTCTGCTGCCACCAGGAATTAAGAATTCCAAAATCTGTCTCTTTTGGTAGTATGACCTAGGGTCTGGGCACTTCAGAGGACTATGTGGCCCTGAGGAAGGACTGTACTGATTTCTGGGATAGGTTTAAACAAAAATTAATTTATTGAATAAAGAGCAAAATAGGTTTCTGCTTATTTTGAACAGCTGCTGAAGAAAGGAACTCCAAACTCACACTCCAAACTCCACTCCGACAGGCTTATACAATCATATATATAGCCACACAGGCTAGTCTCTCTTTTATTCACAGTGAACAGAATCCACTCTCTTAGTCACACAGACTAAACTGTTGGTCTTATTCACACAGAATTAGACTCAGAATTCCATATTCACACAATGTTCTCTCTTCAAGCTTCACACACAGAATCCTTCGTAATTCTCAGTCATACAGACTCTCTTCAAAACTCTTCCATACTTGTCTCTCTCATATCACAGAATCACTTCATAGACACACACACAGAATCCTCTCAGAACATCTCCTCCCACAGTCTCAGTCATCAGCCAGTCAAAATACACTTGTCTCCCTCTATCACACTCCTTACAGTACTGCAGTCAAACTAAACATTTAAAGGAACACACACACCAAAACATGGAATGTGCATGTGATGGGGCCAGAGGCTGGGAGAAAGGACCTTCCCGCAATGCAAGTTGTTTTCACGCTTCACAGTCCCTTGCAGGGAGGAGAAACAAGCCTGAGGGTGTGCTGCTTGTTCCCATTGGAGACAGCAGGGCTCAGTCCAGAAGGAAGGAAGGACGGACGGAAGGGAGGGAGGGGGCGGGCAATGCCTGGAATGAAACGTGAGGCAGGCCCAGAATGCCGCTGACCTACCTTGGCCCCGCACAGCTGTCGGCAGAGGCCCTCCACAGCACCCAGGTGGTTTTCTGCCAGCCAAAGCAAGCACTGCAGGGCAGCCAGTTGGTGCAGAGGGCCCTGCAGCTCTTCAGGGGTCCCCTGCTGGAGAACCTTCCGCCAGCGATCCTCTGAGCTGAGCCCTTGCCCAGGCACAGCACGAGCCTCCAGAACTAGGACAGAAATGAAGCCTGTTGAGGTCTGCGTGCCTTTCAAGACAGCAGGGGTGGGGTGGGGGTTAGCAAAAAGTAATGCTCCAGCATAGGCTGCGCTGGGAGCCAGAAAGGGAGGTGCCCCACCCCCACGCCCTACGTGCCAGCTTCTCTGAGGCCCCATCCTGTCAGGCAGCCACAATCCTGTTCTTCAGGCAGAGTGAGATACAGGCCTTACCTCTGCTGAGCCCGTAGTCTATCCTTGCCAATAGCTTCTCGTTGGAGTCGCTGGGCAGAGCAAGGTCAAACTGCAGGGAATTGCAGAGGATGGTCAGCTCCAGCGGTAGAGCAGGGGGCACAGCAGGGAGTCCTGCAACGACACGGGGGACAAGTCCGGCATGAGTGCCCAGCAGGGGACTCAAAGCATCACCACTGTGCTGACTTCTCTCCCTTGTGAGATGTCTGTTGATTTCTACTTTACTTCCTGTCATTTCACCAGTTTTTAATCCACAAGAGAACCCGTTCTCTTACCCCATGGCTGCTAAGTTTACTCGGGAGTCCTTGGTGAGGCACCTTGCCTAAAGTCTTTTGAAAGTCCAGGGATATAATGTCCACCGGATCACCATTGTCTATATGCTTGTTCACTTTCTCAAAGAACTCCATAAGGTTGGTGAGGTGGGACTTCCTTTTTCAGAAGCCATGCTGGTTTCCCCTCAGCAGGCTTGGTCTCCCCCTATGTGCCTAACAAACAGTTTCTACTAATTTGCCTAGAACAGATGTTGGGCCAACTGGCCTCTAATTTCCTGGTTCCCCTCTGGACCCCCTTTATAAGAATCGGTGAAATATTTGCTGCTTTCCAGCCTTTTGGTGACTGTCCACGGGGTTTTCTTGGCAAAGGTACTGTCTGGAGCAGGTTGCCATTTCCTTCTCCAGGACTTGACTGTGCAACTGAACAACCGCAAAAGCCTTTGGGTACAGCAGCTGAATTCAGAGATAAGTTGCACATACAGTTGAGTTCCCTAAGAACTCTTGGGTGCATGCCATCAGGACCTGGAGACTCGTCAGTTTTTAATTTCCCCAACAGGTCTAGATCTACATCTCTTGCCACCGTAGTTCTTCAGACTCCATTCCTGAAAACAGTGGCTGAGGCATGGGTGCGTGCCCCACACTTTCCACAATGAACATGTAAGCAAGGAGTTCATTGATCTCCCCGGCCATCTCCACATCTTCCTTCAGCAATCTCTTTATTCCTTGGTCATCCAAAGGCCCGACTGCTTCTCTCCGTTTCCTACTCTGGATATATTTAAAGAAGCTTATTGTTTGTCTTGCTGCTTTTTTTTTTTGCATGCCTAATTAGTGACTTGCACTTCTTTTGCCAGATTCTGTATTCCCTTCTGTTCACTTCATTGAGGCAGGATATCCACTTTTTAAAAGAAAAGCCCCTTTTTTGCTTTTTATGGCTGCTTCGATGTGCCCTGCTAACCACTAGGGTTGCCAAGTCCATCTTCCACCCCCAGCAGGGGACTTTGGGGGCGTTCCTGGAGGGGGTGGGGCATCCCCGACGTAATGACGTCATGTTGGGGACGTCTGCCACCCCCCCTCACCCGCCCGTGCGCCGGATCTCCAGAAACGGCAGTTCCCTGCACTTAAAGGAGCCGGCGTTTCCCCTTTAAGAGCAGCGGCGTTTCCCTTTTAAGAACACACTGGCGGAGATCCGGCTTGGGAGGAAACACAGGTTCCACACACTTAAAGGGAGAGAGATGGGTGGCTGTGGGTGTTGGGGCTTCCCCCGCCGGCCAGATGCAGCGGGTAGAACCCCCCACCAAAACGGGGGACCCCTGGCAAACCAGGGGGTTTGGCAACCCTACTAACCACGCAGGCCTTCTTTCAGTGCCTTTCCTAACCTGGGGGAAAGTCTCTGGGCTTCAATCAGTGTGGTTCCCAACAGTTTCCAAACATCCTCTGGGGATCTGACTCTCTTTGTGTTCCCCTTTCATCTTCCTTTTAACGACTCCCCTCATTTTTATAAAGTTCCCAGTGTTGAAATTAAACGTTACTGTTTTAGACTTTAGGAGTAACTTTGCACTGACCTGAATGATGCACTTAATAGCACTGTGGTCCCTGTTCCTAACTGATGCAGCAGCCTCTGCGTTTCTCACCAGGCCTTGAGACCCGCTCAGAACCCAGACCAGGATCACCACCCCTGTGGTTGGCTCTGTGACCAACTGCTTAAGTCGGCCGTCATTTATGATGTCTAGGAATCTCATCTCTACAGCATGCCAGTGAATGCACTGACAACGTGGAGCATGGACCAGCTTCACAGAGGATTAGACAGACGTATGGATATGGAGAATACAGCCACCGGGGACAGGCCTCTCAACCTCTATGCCCAGTTTGCTGGCCCTAGTGTGCAACAGGCTGCTGGGCGAGAGGGACCCCCGGCCTCACCCGGCAGCTCTGCAGGGTCTCCAGGGGTCCTGCTGCCTTCCCGCGTTGCCGCCCAGCTTCTGCCACCACCCACCTTGGATCTTCTGCAGCAGATGGCGGAAGGCGCGCTGGCACTGCGGAGCGCTCTGCTTCTCCCACCCGGCAGCCTTCTCAACCTGCCAAAGGAAGAGAAGAAGAGATTGGATTTCTACCCCACCCTTCACTACCCAAAGGTGTCTCAGAGCGTCTCACAAACTCCTTTCCTTTCCCCTCTCCACCACAGACACCCTGTGAGGGAGGCGGGGCTGAGTGACAGAAACTGCTCTTTTTTCAAGAACAGCTCTGAAAGAACGTGTGACTGGCCCAAGGCCATCCAGCAGGTGCAAGTGGAGGAGGAGTCCGCGCACTTTAACCACCTACAAACAAAATCAGGGAGAGCGGGAGGCAGAGAGGCGCCAAGCCGCGCAGGGTCCAGCTGCTGCCCGAAGACAGGACAGAGCCGCTCTCCGGAGCTCCCCGCACTCAGCGGCAGCCCGCCCAGGGGCCCCCTTCTCTTCTCCCCCACCCAGCCTCGCGGGGCCCTCCCTCCGCTCCCCGGGGCAGAGGCCGGGCTACCCTGCGTGGGGGGCTCCTCCGCCAGCGGCCCGCCAGCCCGTCGTTCTCCTCCCGCCAGAGGCTCAGGCAGCCCCCCGAGGCCGCCGCCATGACGCCGCCGCGCTTTGGCCGGAAGAACTCACTCCGCCCCTCGTCCCCCAACGCCGCGCTCTGATAGGTCGCGCCTCCCCGGGACGGCCGCCTCATTGGCCGGCCTCGCTGGTTGCCGGGGCGACGGCGGGACGGCGGGAGAATCAAGCGCCTCGGCCGGACCCCGAAGACCCAAGCGCCCCG